CCCCTGGAATTAAACAAAATCAGGGCTGCCTGTCATGGTGGTCCTTAACTTATGTTGAAGTCTGTATATGTGTGGGCCCCTAGAGAAAGGTACCAAAAGTCGCCCCATACCATTTCAAGCTACAGGCTGATTATGACAAAAATCATTTTTTTGACCAAACTGTGTTTCCATAAAAAAAATGTGGGCTCAAAGGGTTTTCATTTGATTTGACTTCTAAATATTTCATTTTGAATTCTTTTGAGGGTACATTTTCTCTTCCCTGCTATGTTTTACCATTGAATTCCATTCATGATATTGATGTCAACTGAATGCCAAATAGGAAATGAATTTTCCATGTATAAATACATTTAACTAAAAAATGGGGTTTTTTTTGTAAGTCTGCATGTATTCTCACTTTTGTCAAACATAAAAGCTCATTTTTTCCAAAATTATATTTTCATACCCAACCTTGCAAAAAATGCAATATCTCAAAAACTACTTGAGATACCTAAAACATTCAAAGACCTCTGTGTTCAGCACTGAATGTCCTGTAAGGTACACTTATGTCCTGAACTCAAAAGGGTCAAAACCAGACTTTTGGCACTTTTCTTTAGGCACACACACACAGATTCCAAAGACTTGCGGTGCAGCACTCACCCGTCGGGGCCGACACCCTCGCCCACGTTGCCCTGGCTCTCCTCAACGCCCGGCTCCACCTTCACCTCCACTTTGACGGCAGAGCTGTTGCCGTTGCCGCTGTTGTTATTGCCCGTGCCGGCGTTGACCGGGGGCGGTGGGCCCACCGTCTCTTCCTGCTGCTGTCGGAGCTGCTCCTGCTGCTGCTGCTGTTGTTGCTGCTGCTGTTGCTGTTGCTGCCTCAGCTGCTCTTGCTGTTCAAAACAAAAATAACACGAGAACCTTTTGAGTCCAGTTATTGACAATCTTTGAAAAAACCCAACAAAACATGCTAATAATGTAGATCATTTCTACAGCGCCCACTCCCATATCAAGTGGAGAAAAGCACCAATGTAAAATGCCTCGAACAAAAAGAATCAAGACTTTGGCTGTTACCTGTGCTTTCGGCATGTTCCTCTTTCGCTTCATGTTCTGCTTGCGAAGAAGCTGCTTGTAGTTCTCCCTCTTCTTAGTCAGGTAATAGAAGTGAACACAGTCCGCGACACTCTGGAAACAAAAAAAAATGTTTTAAAATAAAACGACCGGCTGACACTTCAATCTAATTGACTCGCTCATTTATATCCAAAATCACACATCCAACCTGAGAAAGAACAAATACCGGGGGCTCTCGTGGCCTAGAGGTTAAGGTGTTGGCCTCTCATTCAAAGGTCCCGGGTTCAAATCCGGGTAGCGATCAAAAAATTTTCTTCTCTAAAATTGTCTCCTTCCATCTCCTTTCCTGCTCTCTAGCAATGTTCTGTTGTCTGCTTTCATTTTCTGCCTCCACCCCCTCACCTCCCCTGCCCCCTCTTCTGGGCTCCTGACTTTTTCTGCAGCCTTTCTACTGCTACTCCTTGGCTCCTCCTTACTGATGTC